CCTACTTCTCCGCCATCTCGCCACAATCCACCCAATTAGCAGATCTTTGAAAAAGGACTACACTTGTGATGAGCACTGGGTGTTATATGGAAGTGTTGAATGACTAAATTGTACACCAGAAACTAAAATTACACTCCACATTAATAAACTGGAATATAAATGAATAATTTTAAAAAATGGGCCACAGACAAACCAATCATGATAAAGATTAAGGTTAACCTTAGTTATAAAAATTGTTCTTGATAGGTGTCACAAAAGCAAACAGTTTTTAAGTTTCCCTATTACTGCATGTGTGAAATACCAGAGTCTCAAAAGAAGAAACAACTGAAGAGACTGAAGGTCAGGGGTAATGGAATACACCGCTACAGGAGGCTAGAAGTCTCGTCAAATAAGATACTGTGTCAAAGGGAGTGCATATCTCAGTCCTAAGTGCTGCTTGAATGGAGATGCACTTTTAACATTTACTAAGTGCACTGGGCCAAACAGGTAGAGGATTCTATGTTGGAAGGCAGGCTACAATTTTCTGACTATGTAGGTGCCTTGGCACAGAGCTGAGTCCCCTTTAAAGAAGATTATTTCATCCAAGCGATGTGGGGGAGACATTTTATTCATTTCCACAAATGTGCTGGATCATCTAGCTATGCACCTGAAACCAATTTAGAATACATGAGAAGCCTGCCAAAAACTCTTGCACCATCAGGGATACCTTGGGAAATCTGGCATGGTGTTCTATTCACATGGAATCGGTGTTATTGAAAGACTTTTAGTTTGTTCACAGACAACCTATAACTCACGGGAAAGGTTATCTATGATAATGATTTTACATAAACAAAAGTTTGGAATGCAAGTGTTTCTCATCTATTATTACTATTAAGTAATTTCAGTTTTCCCCGTGGTGTCTCTGTCTCTCCTTCATAACATATCCCAAGGCTAGGGCTGTGCTGTTTACAGGTGATGTGATGCTTATGGACATCAGGGAGATGAACTGAGGACATCCCTTCCCTATAACCACTTCTTGTGGTCATACATCATGCAAACCAACTCACTCTAAAGTCTCAGTTAAGTATTTCTCCGTTTAATAGTGTGTGCTCAAGACCTAAATGCGAGGTGAGATGAGGCAGGATGTTTTTCTTGAAGTCTTAGAATTCTATTCTCATAGTTTCAGTCCTATATCTTATTGAATAATGACTACCATCAGCTGCTGTTTCGAGACAAAAGGTAAATTTAATAAATATTATTAGAGTATAAATATATGGATTTATGAAATGATATTTGTATTTCTGTGATATTCACTTTGAATGCTTTTAGGTTTTTCTCATTTTCATTCCTATGCTTCTCTCCAAGATGAAAAGAATAATATCTATTAAAAGCTTTAAAAGAATAATATCTATGTCAGCCAGCATTGTGTTTTCACCTGTACCGTACAATTGCCAAAGAAGAGTAGTTGCTTTTCAGTTACTCAGTGATACGTGATAATTAGCATACTTATTATTTTGGCATTTGTACCTTTTACAAAAACACTTTTATGGAACTCATCAATCAAGACGGTTTTTTTCCCTTTTTGAATTTGACAGCTTTGTTTCTGATGGTGCCACTATCACCACTGAACCATCCAACTTACCTGCACCTTGTCACTTGCAATTCTCGTAATGACTTTATGTTGACAATAACTTGTCATTGGATTTGCAATGTGTTTAAGATAGTATGTTAAAATTAATGAGGAATTAAGGTGGAATATAATGTTATTGGCTAATACAATAACAAAATGAAGATAGGATGTGATTTTGTCATCTACATTATAATGTGTGTGTGTGTGTGCGCGCGCGCGTGTGTGAGTTTCAGATGGGAAGGACTATATGAATATTATATTATTTACTAAATGATACAGCTCTAAATGCAAATTTCTTTATAAGGAAGGGAAAATATTATTAAACTTTATTTTCTCTGAAATATCACATAAGCTACTGAGAAATATCATGGGTTCTTATAAATGACTTCTTCCTTTTCTTACACATTATTTCAGACATTTGATGTCAATCTAAAGAATGAGTGTTTTTCCTAGTTTTTTTTTAAATGGTGATATTTACCCACAAGCATCTGTGATTATGTATATAATTTGAACTTAAAATATTTTTTAAAAATCTTGAGAATAGATTGAAATGAGAGTCGTTCAGGGATTTCTCCCTCCACCCAGGAAAATCCAGTTGTTTTTTCTCAGAATGAGTGGCTGAGATGTGCATTTAGATTTATAAGTTTTCAAGATTTGAGCTGGAAACAAGTTCCCCTTTGTATTCCTATGAGTTTATCAATTCTATAGATTTTTAAAAATATTTCATTTCTACTGATATACCCAGTATTTCTAAATCTCCAAATTTTCCCAGGGAGAGTTGCCAGATTTACCTCATATACACACAAGATATAGAGTAATTTGAAATTCTGAAAGACAGCAACGACTTTTTGTGCCACTCTGCAATATTTACTTACTAGTATATAATAAGAGGATGCAATAACTGGGACATACATATACTAAAATTATTTATAATTTGCCTGGTAATCAAATTTATCTGAGTGTCTTACACTTTATTGCTCACCTTGAATCTATGGGAAACATGGTGCTTTCCTGTCCAGGCTCAGCACTAAAACAGTCAAGATTGACAGTGGGAAAAAATTATTTATCCAGCAGGAATAAACCTTTTCAGTATATAGCCATTAATACAAAGCATACACGAATTAGAGGTGGCCATCCATATATGCCATGAGTTGGTAAAATAAAACATTAAAATGTTTTTATGCCATTTTATTGAATGGATTCTATTCTCTCTTTTTGGGATGTATTTGTGATGCATGCTTTCCATCTTTAAAATGACTTACGTATACAGTTATTGGATAATTACACAAACATGAGTGGTTAATATCAAATGATACTTTACTGTACTGGACAGTGACTCTAAAATTTGGATATCATTGTGCCTTTAGACCAATATCATCCTACTCCCTAAGGCCCAACATGACATCAGAACCCAAGTGTTCTGTGTGTACAGATATATGTGTTAGCAAGTATTAGTGATTGGATTCAAGCATTAAATATAAATTTGTCACATAACAGATTGAACATTTGGAAAAATAGAGCCATTTAATCACATATACAATTACTGCTTTATAAAACCACATATATCAGGTAATTATAGGGCAATGTTTTACCTGAGCAATGACCTTATGAGTCTGAGCAAAGAACACTAACTCTCAAAATTTCTTTACTGGAAAGAAAACTGAGCACTTTTTCAGAGGAAAATAAATAAAATAATAAGCAATACAGCTAAAAATGTAAGACCTGGATCCTGTTAATTAGATAAAATAATTACGCCTGTATACAGGGCAAATAACATGACAAATAATTTCGAAATTATTCAGTGACGTTACAAAGAATTCCAATGTTGGAAGTAGCCTGATCAGACATGAGGACAAGATTTTTTTATTGGTACATTTTTAAAGGCATGGAAGCATATAATTTTATTAAATGGAATCCCATGAAAAGAGCTTCATATAAACATTTTAATACAACTTTGTGGATGTCATAAAGTGGAGTATTGTGGGATTGTCCTCTTGTTCTCTTGAAATTTGAGATTTAGTCTTCAGCAATTCCCTAAATATATAAAAAGAGATTATAGAAGTAATCTCTGTGACTGAAAATTAAGGAGAGTAGGGGCGCCTGGGTGGCTCAGTCGGTTAAGCATCCAGCTTCGGCTCAGGTCATGATCTCATGGCTCGTGGGTTTGAGCCCCATATTGGGCCCTGGGCTGACAGTTCAGAGTCTGGAGCCTGCTTTGGATTCTGTCTCCCTCATTCTTTGCCCTCCCCCACTCATGCTCTCTCTTTCTCTATTTCTTTTTCTCTAAAAAATAAACATTAAAAATTTTTTAAAAAGATAAGAAAGGAGAGTCAGCCAGGTTCAAGCTGAATAAATTCTGTCAGTAGAATATGGGAAAAAAAGCTTATTCCCATCCCATTTGATGTCATATTTTCAAAGCATTTATATGATACATTAGAGTAATATGACAATGAGAATTAAGGTTGTAGAGAGAAGGATGTTTAATAATTATCAGATTTTAAAGTGAGATTATGCTAAATTATCAGGATAATCCAAATGTAATCACAATGGTCTCTAAATGTGGAAGTAGGAAGAAGAGAAAGGGTCACAGTTTGTGATGGAAGATTCAACTTGAACATTACATTTTCCCAATTGTTTGTTTGGTAATTCCTTCCTCATTAGCCTGGAATTTACAACAGTTCAACTATACAAACACCTGTGCGTCTTTTATCTGGTTATTAGAACTTTTGATGCTGAATATGAGACAGGACAACATATAACAGAAAGTAAAATAAGGGGTGCCGGGGTGGCTCAGTCAGTTGAGCGTCTGGCTTTGGCTCAGGTCGTGATCTCATGACTCATGGGTTCCGGCCCCGCGTCAGATTCTGGGCTGAGAGATAGCTCAGAGCCTAGAGACTGCTTTAGATTCTGTATCTCTCTCTCTCACTGACCCTCCCCTGCTCATGCTGTCTCTCAGAAATAAATTTAAAAAACATTTAAAAAAGAAAGTAAAATAAATGCATTTAGTAGAAGACACGGGGAATGGGTACATTATCCTGGCATGATATTTGATACATTGTGTGATATCTCTCTCTCCCTCCCTCTCTGCCTTTATCCTCTTTCGTTTTCTCCCTACTTAGATGATACATCATTGATAGATTATGATAGGTAGATGATAGAAAAATAGATCTCAGGTATGTATGTCTACAAATTATACACACACTCAACTTGTTATACAAATAATTTTGAGACCATATATCTAAGACTGTACATATAGGTTTGCTTAATAATTAGGTGAATAAATTTGGGCAAAAGGAAAACTATGATGTGGTGATGAGTATGACAACAAAGCAAATGATACTGATGATGTGAGGTCTTTTTTTCAGATAAATACATTTTTTTCTTTGTGACCATGATGATCACAACTTCCATTTATGTGAGTATTAAAATATGCCAGTTTCTACAAGTAGGCCTTGGAATCTCAGCCAACACCTTCCTCCTTCTCTTCCACATCTTCACGCTACTACTGGATCACAGATGTAAGACCACTGACCTAACCACCTTTCACTTGGTCTTTGTGCACATAATGAAACTCTTCACTGTGCTGTTTTTGATGTCTACGGACCTGTTTGAAACACTAAACTTTCTGAATGATTTCAAATGTAAGGCTTTATTCTGCATGATCCGAGTGACACGGGGTCTGCCCATGAGCACTACTTGCCTCCTGAGCATCCTCCAGGCCATCATCAGCCCCAGCACCTCCTGGTTGGCCAGGTTTAAACAAAAGTGTTCAAAGTACATCTTCCATTCTTTTCTCATCTTATGGTTTCTCAGTTTGTCTCTCAATAGTAACTGCATCTTGTATACTGCTGCTTCTAATATCACCCAGAGAAAGCTACTGCATGTCAGTAAATACTGTTCACTATCCTCAGCAAGCTCCTTTGCCAGGGGACTGCTTTTCATTTTGACATTACCTAGAGATGTCTTCTTTTTTTTTTTTTTTTTTTACAAAAAGTTTATTGTCAAATTAGTTTCCACATAACACTCAGTGCTCATCCCCACAAGTGTCCTCCTCCATGTCCATCCCCCCTCCCCCCCACATCCATCAGTCCTCAGTTTTTGTCAGCATTCAAGAGTCTCTCATGGTTTGCCTCTCTCCCTTTCCCCCACCATTTCCGCCCTTCTTCTCCCCCTTGTTCCTCCGTCAAGTTCCTCCTAATCCTCCTATACGTGCAAACATATGATATTTGTCCTTCTCTGCCTGACTTATTTCGCTCAGCATAACACCCTCAAGGTCCATCCATGTTGCTACACATGGCCAGATTTCATTGTTTCTCATTGCCATGTAGTATTCCATGGTATAGATAAACCACATCTTCTTGATCCATTCATCTGTTGATGGACACTTAGGCTCTTTCCATGTTTTAGCTATTGTGGAGAGTGCTGCTATGAACATTGGGGTACATGTGCTCCTATGCCTCAGCATTTCTGTATCCCTTGGGTAAATTCCTAGCAGTGCTATTGCTGGGTCATAAGGGAGTTCTATTGTTAGTTTCCTGAGGAACCTCCACACTGTTTTCCAGAGGGGCTGTACCAGTTTACATTCCCACCAACAGTGTAGGAGGGTGCCCGTTTCTCCACATCCTCGCCAGCATCTAGAGTTCTCTGATTTGCTCATTTTAGCCACTCTGACTGGCGTGAGGTGGTATCTCAGTGTGGTTTTGATTTGTATTTCCCTGATGAGGAGGGATGCTGAGCATCGTTTCATGTGTCTGTTGGCCATCTGGATGTCCTCTTTGGAGAAGTGTCTGTTCATGTCTTCTGCCCATTTCTTCACTGGGTTGTTTGTTTTTCGGGCGTGTAGTTTGGTGAGTTCCTTATAGATTCTGGATATTAACCCTTTATCTGATATGTCATTTGCAACTATCTTTTCCCATTCCGTTGGTTGCCTATTAATTTTCTGGGTTGTTTCCTTGGCTGTGCAGAAGCTTTTAATCTTGATGAGGTCCCAACAGTTTATTTTTGCTCTTGATTCCCTTGCTTTTGGGGATGTGTCAAGTAAGAAGTTGCTGCGGTGGAGGTCAAGGAGGTTGTTTCCTGCTTTCTCCTCTAGGGTGTTGATAGTTTCCTGTCTCACGTTCAGGTCCTTTATCCATTTTGAGTTGATTTTTGTGCATGGTGTGAGAAAATGATCTAGTTTCATTCTTCTGCATGTTGCTGTCCAGTTCTCCCAACACCATCTGTTAAAAAGGCTGTCTTTTTTCCATTGGATATTCTTTCCTGCTTTGTCAAAGATCAGTTGGCTGTATACTTTTGGGTCCACTTCTGAGTTCTCAATTCTGTTCCATTGGTCTATGGGTCTGTTTTTGTGCCAATACCATACTGTCTTGAGGATGACAGCTTTGTAGTAGAGGCTGAAGTCTGGGATGGTGATACCTCCCGTTTTGGTTTTATTTTTCAGTATTACTTTGGCTATTCGGGGTCTTTTGTGGTTCCATACAAATTTTTGGATAGTTTGTTCTAGTTTTGAGAAGTATGCTGGTGCAATTTTGATTGGAATTGCATTGAATGTGTAGAGTGCTTTAGGTAGTAATGACATCTTAACTATATTTATTCTTCCTATCCATGAGCATGGAATGTTTTTCCATTTCTTTGTGTCTTCTTCAATTTTCTTCATAAGTTTTCTATAGTTTTCATCATACAGATCTCTTGTATCCTTGGTTAGGTTTATTCCGAGGTACTTCATGGTTTTTTGTGCAATTGTGAATGGGATCAGTTTCTTGATTTCTCTTTCTGTTGCTTCATCATTGGTGTATAAAAATGCAACCGATTTCTGTACGTTGATTTTGTACCCTGCAACTTTCCAGAATTCTTGGATCAGTTCTAGTAGGCTTCTGGTGGAGTGTGTCGGGTTTTCTATGTAGAGGATCATGTCATAGAGATGTCTTCTTTATAGGAGCCATGTTTCTCTCAAGTACCTACATATTGGTTCGCTTGTCCAGGCATCAGAGGCGGTGCCAGCACCTTCACAGCACCCACCTCTCCTCACGATTCTCCCCAGAGAGAAGGGCCACACAGACTGTCCTGTTGTTGGTGAGTTTCTTTGTGGTCGTGTACTGGGTGGACGCCATCCTCTCCTTCTCTGCAACATTGTTATGGACATATGACCCAGTTATCCTAGATTTCCAGAAGCTTGTGTCGAATGTCTATGCCATGGTCAGTGTGTTAGTGGTAATTTGTTCTAATAAAAGGATAAAAACGTGTTTCCAAAGTGTGGAAAATTTTCAATCAATGTATAACTATATATTCATGAAATAGTTGTCTCCAAAATTGATTATTTTGCTTTTATTCAATCAACAGCATATTTATTCATGTAACATTAAATTTTAATGTTAATTATTTTGCCATTAGTGTATCTTTCTTTAAAATAGTTTATTATCAAGTTGGTTTCCATATAATACCCAGTGCTCATCCCCACAAGTGCCCTCCTACATAACCATCACCCCCTTCCCCTCCCCCACCCCCATCTGCCCTCAATTTTTCGGCATTCAAGAATCTCTCACGGTTTGCCTCCCTCCCTGTCTCCCACTATTTTTCCCATTCTTCTCCCCCATGGTCGTCCCTTAAGTTCCCCCTAATCCTCCTATACGTGCAAACATATGATATTTGTCCTTCTCTGCCTGACTTATTTCGCTCAGCATAACACCCTCTAGTTCCATGCATGTTGCTACACATGGCCAGATTTCATTGTTTCTCATTGCCATGGAGTATTCTATCGTATAGATAAACCACATCTTCCTGATCCATTTGTCCGTTGATGGACACTTAGGCTCTTTCCATGTTTTGGCTATTGTTGAGAGTGCTGCTATGAACATTGGGGTCCATGGACCCCTATGCATCAGCACTCCTGTATCCCTTGGGTAAATTCCTAGCAGTGCTATTGTTGGGTCATAGGGGAGTTCTACTGTTAATTTTTTGAGGAACTTCCACACTGTTTTCCAGAGGGACTGCACCAGTTTACATTCCCACCAACAGTGTAGGAGGGTGCCCATTTCTGCACATCCTTGCTAGCATCTAAAGTCCTCTGATTTGCTCATTTTAGCCACTCTGACCGGCATGAGGTGGTATCTCAGTGTGGTTTTGATTTGTATTTCCCTGATGAGGAGGGTTGCTGAGCATCTTTTCATGTGTCTGTTGTCCATCTGGATGTCCTCTTTGGAGAAGTGTCTGTTCTTTTCTTCTGCCCATTTCTTTACTGGTTTTTTTGTTTTTCGGGTGTGGAGTTTGGTGAGTTCCTTATAGATTTTGGATACTAGCCCTTTATCTGATATGTCATTTACAACTATCATTTCCCATTCTGTCAGTTGCCTATTAGTTTTGTGGATTGTTTCCTTTGCCGTGAAGAAGCTTCTAATATTGATGAGGTCCCAAAAGTTCATTATTGCTCTTGATTCCCTTGCCTTTGGGGATGTGTCAAGTAAGAAATTGCTGCAGTTCAGGTCAAGGAGCTTGTTTCCTGCTTTCTCTTCTAGGACTTTGATGGTTCCCTGTCTCACGTTCAGGTCCTTTTTCCATTTTGAGTTTATTTTTGTGTATGGTGTGAGAAATTGATCTAGTTTCAGTCTTCTGCGTGTTGCTGTCCAGTTTTCCCAGCACCATCTCTTAAAGAGGCTGTCTTTTTTCCATTGGATACTCTTTCCTACTTTGTCAAAGATTAGTTGGCTGTACACTTTTGGGTCCAGTTCTGAGTTTTCAATTCTATTCCATTGGTCTATGTGTCTATTTTTGTGCCAAGACCATATTGTCTTGATGATGACAGCTTTGTAGTAGAGGCTAAAGTCTGGGATTGTGATGCCTCCCGTTATGGTTTTCTTCCTCAATATTACTTTGGCTATTTGGGATCTTTTGTGGTTCCATATAAATTTTAGGATAGTTTGTTCTAGTTTTGAGAGGTATGCTGGTGGAATTTTGATTGGGATTTCATTGAATGCGTAGATTGCTTTGGGTAGTAATGACAATTTAAGTATATTTATTCTTCCGATCCATGAACATAGAACGTTTTTCCATTTCTTTGTGTCTTCTTTAATTTCCTTCATAAGTTTTCTGTAGTTTTCATCTTAAAGATCTCCTGTATCTTGGGTTAGATTTATTCCTAGGTATTTTATGTTTTTTTGTGCAATTGTAAATGGAATAAGTTTCAGAATTTCTCTTGTGTTGCTTCATTATTGGTGTATAAGAATGCAACCAATTTCATTGCGTTGATTTTGTACCCTGTGTCTTTGCTAAATTCTTGGATCAGTTCTAGTAGGCTTCTGGTGGTGTCTGTTGGGTTTTCTATGTAGAGTATCATCATGTCTGCGAAAAGTGAGAGTTTGAGTTCTTCTTTGCCAATTCTGATGCCTTTGATTTCCTTTTGTTGTCTGATGGCTGATGCTAGGACTTCCAGCACTATGTTAAACAACAGTGGTGAGAGTGGACATCCGTGTTGAGGATGATGTTAGCTAAGGGCTTCTCATACATGGCTTTTATGATATTCAAGTAAGTTCCTTCTCTCCCAACTTTCTCGAGAGTCTTTATTAAGAAGGGATGCTGTATCTTGTCAAATGCTTTTTCTGCATTTATCGACAGGATCGTATGGCTTTTCCTTTTCTTTTGTAAATATGATGTATCACATTGACTGATTTGCGAATATTAAACCAGCCCTGGAACCCAGGAATGAATCCCATGTGATCATGGTGGATAATTCTTTTTATGTGCTGTTGGATTCGATTTCCAAGTATCTAGCTGAGGATTTTTGCATCTGTATTCATCAAGGATATTGGCCTGGAGTGCTCTTTTTTTTTTGCTGGGTCTCTGTCTGCCTTGGGAATCAAAGTGATGCTGGCTTCATAAAATGAGTCTGGAAGATTTCCTTCATTTCTATTTTCCTTTGATTTCTATATTTTGGAATAGCTTGAGAAGAATGGGTATTAATTCTGTTTTTTAAAACAGATCTTGCTTTTATTTAAGTTTTTATTTTATTATTATTATTATTTTTTACAAATAGTTTATTGTCAACTTGGTTTCCATATAACAACCAGTGCTCTCCCCACAAGTGCCCTCCTCCATGTCAATGTCTGGTAGAATTCCCCAGGGAAGCCATCTGACCCAGGGCTCTTGTTTGTTGGGAGATTTTTGATAACTAATTCGATTTCTTCACTAGTTATGGTTCTGTTCAAATTTTCTATCTCTTCCCGTGTGAACTTTGGTTGTGTGTGTGTGTTTAGGAATTTTTCCATTTCTTCTAAGTTGTCCAATTTGTTGGCATATAATTTTTGATAGTATTCCCTGATAATTGCTTGTATTTCTGAGAGGTTGTTTGTAATCAGTCCGTTTTCATTCATGATTATGTCCTTTTGAGTGCTCTATCTTTTCTTTTTGAGAACCCTGGTTAGAGGTTTGTCAATTTTGTTTAGTTTTTCAAATAACCAACTCTTGGTTTCATTGATCTGTTCAACTGTTTTTTGGTTTCTATAAAGGTTATTTCTGCTCTAATTTTTTAATTATTTCTCTTCTACTGGGTTTGGGGTGCTCTTGTTGCTCTTCCTCTACTTCCTTTAGGTGAGCTGTTAGATTTTGTACTTGTGCTTTTTCTAATTTCTTGAAATAGGCCCTGGAGTGCAGTGTACTTTCCTCTTAGGACTTTCTTTGCCGCATCCCATATTGTTTGGATTTTGTATTTTCGTTTTCATTTGTTTCCATATATTTTTTAATTTCTTCTTTAATTGCCTGATTGGCCCATTCATTCTTTAGTAGGGTATTCTTTAATCTCCATGTTTTTGGAGGTTTTCCAGACTTCTTCCTGTGATTGATTTCACATTTCACAGCATTGTGATCTGAAAGTATGCATGGCATGATCTCAATTCTTTAATATTTATTGATGGCTGCTTTATGTCCCAGTATCTGATCTATCTTGGAGAATGTGCAATGTGCACTTGAGAAGAAAGTGAATTCCATGGCCTTAAGATGTGAAGTTCTAAATATATTTCTTAGATCTATCTGGTCCAATGTGTCATTCAAGTCCATTGCTTCTTTAGTGATTTTCTGTCTAGTTATCTATCCATTGCTGTAAGTGGAGTATTAAAGTCCCCTGCCATTAGCACATTTTTATCTATAAGATTGTTTCTGTTTGTGATTAATTGTTTTAAATATTAAGTGCTCCCATATTTGGTGCATAGACATTTATAATATTAGCTCTTCCTATTGGATAGACCCTGTAATTATTATATAATGCCCTTCTTCATCCCTTGTTACTGTCTTTACTTTAAAGTTCAGTTTGTCTGATATCAGTATAGCTACTCCAGCTTTCCTTTGTCTTCCAGTAGCATGATAGATATTTCTCCATCCCCTTACATTCAGTCTGAAGGTGTCCTCCAGTGTAAAATGCATTTCTTGTAGACAGCAAATAGATGGATTTTTTCTTTATCCATCAGCTCCCCTAAGTTTGATTGGGGCATTTATTCCATTTTCACTCAGTTTATTATTGAAAAATATGGGTTTAGAGACAGTGTGTTCTCTGTAGGATTCATCCTTGTGGTGGTGTCTCTGGTACCTTGTGTTCCTTACAACATTTCCCTCATAGAGTTCCCCTCAGGATTTCCTGTAGGGCTGGTTTAGTGTGATGAATTCATTCAATTTTTGTTTATTTGGGAAGACTTTTATCTCTCCTTTTATTTTGAAAGACAGGCTTGCTGGATAGAGGATTCTTGGCTGCCTATTTTTTCTGTTCATCACATTTAAGATTTACTGCCATTCCTTTCTGGCATGACAAGTTTCAGTAGATAGGTCTGAAACCACTCTGATAGGTTTCCCGTTGTATATTAGGGCCCTTTTCTCCCTATCTGCTTTCAGAAATCTCTATTTGTCCTTATATTTTGCCACCTTCACTATGATATGTCGTGGAGAAGATTGATTCAAGTTATATCTGAGCTCTCGAACTCTCCTTTCGGGTTCCTGGATCAGGTTGTCTCTCTCTTTCTCTCTCTCTCTTTTTTTGGCTTCCTCTTTTTCTGTAATTGTGTCTTCTAAATAACTTATTCTCCTTTCTGCTTCTTCAATCCATACATTGGACACCTGCATTTTATTATGCATCTCATTTATAGCATTTTTTAATTAATCACAACTATTTTTAAGCTCCATAGTTTGTAGCAATAGCTTCTCTGGTGTATTCCATGCCTTTTTCAAGCCCGGGGATTAATTTCATGACTATTTTCTAAATTCTTGTTCATTTTTGTTGCTTATATCTGTTTTGAGCAGTTCT